ATCCCCCTGAATACTGCACACTGGACCTTTAACTTTCAGCATAAAATGCCACAGTAATTTGGATTTTCTACCATGTATGATAATTATTTTTTATTATTAGTTTTTATTGTCATTGTCATTATTGTTATTATTTGTTTAAAGTAAATGAGTGAAAGCTATAAGTATTTGGGAGAACTATTGTTGGTTTCTGCCTGTGTGCTGGAGATCCACAGCTGTGGTCACTGCAGAGGACCCAGATCTGTTTCTGCATACTTGCAGAACTACTGCTGCACTTCATGACTGTTTGATGAAGGAGGTGTAGGCCTGTAGTTTTTGTTCCTCTGTAGTCCAATATAATGTTGTTCCTCAGTATATAATATATAAGAAGGAATTAACTGCAGTTCTGTTGTCAGAACAATGCAGATGATAATCATAATGGCTGCACAGTGTGTTGGTTCACATTTACAAAGAGTCACACTGGACTTGTAACTATCCTTCTCTCTCTGTTTTGTCACCAGGTGAAAATCCCATCATCAATGCATGTCTTAACTGGACGAGCTGGGCCTCCTCTGTGCTCTCTACCAGGACGGAAGGGGTTAATGCATGCTGCAGCATCTTATTGCACTTTGTTAGAAGTTTTAAAATAAACAGGATGTGGCAGAAACAGGATGTGTTCAGCCTAATGGGAAGCTGTTGCAAGTGGTCAAACAAACAAGAATGACCCATTATGAACATAAATCCACTTAAGGAGCAGTTGAAGTTGTTGTGATCATTTTGTGTTTCTGCTTTAGCCTGCTCACAACTATTTATTGATTCATCTTGTAAATATATTTATCAGTTTATGAATGTTAATGCCTATTTTCTTTTTTTAAATCTAGAAGTCCAACGCTGTCTTATTACTGCTCTGCCAGTGTATAATGTTCAGTTTGAGCCTCCCTTTGTCCCAATCCTGATTCTGTACGGAGGCGACATTGCTCACATACTTTGTCCTTCTGTCAGCCCTGCAGCCCCCTGCACAGATCAGCTTAGGACAGCAGCTCCCCTCCTCCCTATCCTCCTCCTCCTCTCTCCCAGAGCGCTGCAGCTAAAATCCTTGAGGATCCCCAAGAGCCAGCAGGCCTGAACAAACTCAACCGGTCAGTGGCTTTTTCACTGTTTAACTACAGGCAGCTAACTGTTAATCATTTCTCAGTTAGTGAAGACAAGTGCTATTTTCAAGCCACTGGCTGGGATGACCTCTTTATATAAAAATATAAATATGCAAAACACTGAAGCCATATGTTTGTTTCACTCTTGGGACCGTCCGCTTAAATTAGTTTTGGAGCAATACATTAGAATCCCTTTAGACTCTGTGAGGAAGAGTTTACACTTTATCTTCTGCTTTATAAAAACACTCCACTTGTATAACTGCGCAGTTACTGAGGAATTCTTAATGGCTTTTTGTTTCCTGGCATCTTGTTTGCTTTGGGTGGAGTTATGTACTGAAAAAAGAATGTTACATGCTGTAATATTAACCAGACTAATGTATGTATGTAACAGATTACTTTCTGTTTTCATTTTGGATGTTTGGATTTGTTAGTCTACCTCGTGAAGACTTTTGGAAACTTCTTGCCACATGTCATTCTTTCAAATCAGGCCTTGACTGTTACACTGACACATTTATGATGATATGTTATAATAAATATCATGTAAAATATTTGGATTCTTGGTGATTTTGTGCTGTCTGTCCTCCTCTCCCTCACACACAAACACACACGTGCCAAGTCAACTAATAAACTGTGAACTGTTCACACCGTCCTCGCCAGGCAAACCGCTGTTCTTCTGTTTTCTTTGCAGCTCCAGCAGACTGATGGCAGCCGCACACAAGAATAAATTAGCTGTTTTATTGTCAACCTGAAGGCAAATCATTAACAGTATTAATCATCAGGAACCTGAGGCTGTGTGGGTGTACGAGACTCTAATCAGGGGCTTTTTATCTTTAAATGATTAATTCAGCAGGGTAATAATTTGCTGTCTCGCACTCTAATCCTGAACTTCTTGAAGTGAGATCAAGGAGGTCCTTCAAACGCTCACTATATCTCACGTCACTGAGATATAGAGACAAGTTTCATTTCAATGTTCATCCATTCACTCTCAGACATTGAATTCTTTCAGGTTTATCAAGATCGTATTTATGCAAATGATCCAGCAGTGTTATTATTGGCTCAAAGTAAACCAATAGATTTACTGTTTTTTGACTTGACTCCATCTGGTCAGTCCTGCCTGTGGCCATCCAACTTTCCAACTCCTCTCTCACAGTGTCAGACACTCTGAGTCAATAGACTGGCCCTTTGACCTGAATTCACCCATTAGTATTTATGATTCCATGATTTATTTATTATTTTAATCTGTGCATTACTAACTTAAGGGTACAATAATTCTGTGCAACACTGTCTGAACTGTTCAATATTTGGTGCAAAAATTCAGCTGCTGCTACACTCTGTACAGTTACGGGTAGCAGTAGCTCAGTCCACAGGGATTTGTGTGGGAACCGGAGGGTCACCGGTTCAAGTCCCCATCCGGACCAAAATATGGAGCGTGGACTGGTAGCTGGGGAGGTGCAAGCTCGCCTTCTGGGCACCCTTGAGCAAGGCACCGAACCAACTGCTTGGTGCGCCTGTCCTTGCTCTGACATCTCTCCATTTAACGCATGTGTTCTGTTTGTGCATGTGTGTGTAGTTTGGGCCTGTGTGTATATGACAACAGAATGAAAAAAAATGAATTTCCCCTCAGGGCAAACAAAAACAAAAAACAGACAAAATAAACAAAACAATAATTCGACTGTGCATTATTCTTTTTATTAGCTTAATTTATTTAAACTACTCTTGAATGTATATTTAACATAAGATGCACAAATTATACATAATTCCTATTCTTATTTTTCTATCTATACATAAATTGTGTTATACATTGCAGTTTGATACACATATTTTCATTTCTCTAAAACTGTACATAGGTTACTAGTTTTACACATTGTAGCTAAATGCACATATTTGTTATATTTTTACTATATATACATACTAGTGTTGAACATTGCGGCATAATAATTTTCCTGGTCCCATAGCTGCATAAAACATTCCTGATTCAGTGTTCTGAGCTTTGCCTGTTAGTTGAGTGAAGGGAAAATGAACAGTCGCACATGCTTGCCCATCAGATCCACACCTTGCTACTGATTTTCCCATGGACATCACATCACCTACCCCTATGCCATTTGTCTCACCCTCTGTCGCCCAGTTCTAGTTTGTTTGGATTGGTAAGAGGTTTCACTTTTGCCTAAGTATGAACAATCAGGTCAAAATAACAAAAGTGACCCCTGATGGGGAGTCTAAAGGACGTCTCCAGCAATTTACCGCTGCACTTAAAGTTAGGGGACTTTTAAGAGGAAGATTAGAGGGGAGCTATGCCCATTTTGAAAAATGATACACGTCATTCCTATTATCTAAGACAGTCCAAAAACATTAGTAAGAGAGAGCACCCAGGGGAATGATCTGAGTATATGGGTGCATTTTCTGTTTCAGAGCTGAGAATGCTACAGTAGAGTAAAGCTCATTTGGATTTGAAAAAAGAAAGCAAACAGTCTGTGGGTCCACAAAATCAGGCTCCCATTCATTGTCTATAAAGCAGCTCCAGACTGTATACTTGACGACATCACAAGTTTTAGACAACTTCTGTCGTTACTGGCAAAGAGAGAGAGCAGCTCATGTTCACAAATATTAAATGAGCTTTCCTAGACCATGGAGAGAATTCTTAATTTAGGCGGTGTTCCCCTTTAGAGACAGAAAGAATAGTCAAAATTGATGCAGCAGAGGCAGTTATCTCTATTTTGTCTCTGTAAAAGGTGAAACTTGTGAAACACTACATCCTATAATTCCCATAATGCAACTCCGTAGCATCTTTCATTCAGCCCTCCCTGCCTGGTAAGTGCTCACATCATCAAGGCTATTTTCTGCACTTTAAAAAGATCTCTTCAGAGCCACAGAAGACATCATACAGCTGTTTTCTCAGTTCCTTGTGACAACTAAATCAATCCTCATGTGGAAAACCAGTGAAGTGCCTCTTAGGGAAACTCAAGGTTAGTGCTCCCAGATACTCACAAAGGTCAATCAGTGCTCATATTTATATAAATTACAGCTAAACACACAGGTCATATGGGGTCAGTTGTATCATATTTGGTCTTTTGTTTCGTAGCTTTTGGACAACATCAAGACTAGTCCAGTTTTGTGCTGTAAGACTGAGATGTGCATATTGTTCTGCATATTGTCAGAGTGCTGCAGTGCCAACCGCCCACGTCATTGGCAACAGGTGGAAAAATCATAGCTTAATTTTTTCTTACATTCAAACAGCATTTATGGAAATATTTTAAAGCCCCTTTCAATCAGAAAGCAGAAGCCAATGTGTGAAATGTGATGATTAAGAATAGTTAGCGTGCAGCTTGGCAGGTGGGCTTGTACAGTGTGTTGTACTGCAGGATTGCAGAACACTGTGCAGGTGCAGTTGTGCTCAAAGCAGCAGAAGCAGGTGGATCTTGCAGACCTCCACCTACACTGTCACACAATATGTGAACAGCACCTCTGGCTCAAAGAAACCATTTTACTGTAAACAGTAATCAGACCGACTTGATATTGTCACACAACACATGTCCAAAATATGGTGTCAAAGGGATGAAATATAAAGAAACCAGAAATCAGCCTGTGTGAGTTTAACTTGTTTTTGTCTTTGTGTGCGAGTGACACTGTCTCCACATATTAAAATGGAATAAAATCAGTCCTGATTAGAGCTCCCCTGAAATGATTTCGTGTGTGTGAGTGCGTGTGAGAGAGTGCGCGTGGGTGAACAGACCCCCGTTTCAACACTCGCGAGCATGAACTTATTGAACCCATCTGCTCGCGGTGAGAAATGTGCCAGGCTTGCAGCATCCCGCGGACGTCATGGCAACCTGTGGGGAGGCAGCAGGGGCGGCGCTGTCTCTGCGCGCGTGTGTGCATGTGTGAGCCGTCTGATATTTTGTTGTAGTCTGTACCAGTGATCTGAGCAGGACGATCAGAGGGGAGCAGTGCAGCAGCAGCAGCAGCAGCGGCAGCGGCGGCGGCGGCGGCGGCGGCATCAGACACGGGCGGGAGGCTGGGACTGTAGGATGTTGCGTCTGAGCTGCCGACTAGGCTGATCAGAGCCGGAGCAACGATGCAGTGACAGTCTACAGGAAGACACGGGGACACACTCACACACATACACACACACACACACACACAAACACACACTCACACACATAGAGTGAGAAGGAGGGAGGGAGAGTAAACAGACGAATGCGCACGAGAAATGATCCGCTCCTAGACTATGGCACCGTCGGGCTCGCGTAGTATCAAGAAGGGCTGTCAGAGAGTTTTGTACTGGATCCCGGTCCTCTTCATCGCCCTCATAGTGGCGTGGTCATACTACGCCTATGTGCTCCAGCTTTGCATAGGTAAGACCCCAGCTGTCTGGGTAGTATGAGGACGAAGTGTGTGTGTTTATGTCTGTGTGAATGAGTGAGTGAGGGGGAAATGCCTCTGACTGGTGTGTGTGGTTTTTTTGGAGATGGGGTGGGGAGACATTAGTGTTTCAGCAGTTTGTGGTCAATGCTGATTTTTTGGGGGGGGGGGGTGCAGACGACTGGCTTGTTGTTTATGCAGTGTGTGGACAGTGTCAGTCACATGACAACAACAGTTCAAGCAGGATTTGTCAGCATATTGTTAAAAAGAAGTGCCAGTGTGGTTTTGCATGCCAAACACAAGTTGAATATTTCCAAATCCTCATCATCTCACAGAATAAGAAGTGTTTTAACAACCTGTTTTTATTCTGAAGGAGCTTTTGTGACATATACATTAACACAGGGTGTATAAAATAGGATGAGTCCATGAGATTCATTATCTGAGTCCACCACTACCACTCTATCAGCACTATCTTAGAGACTTACTGTAATAGCTTCAGGCTTATGTAGTTGCAGAGCTTCATTATCTGAATTTATATCCTCCACCACAACACCAGCAGCATTATCTTTTGGCAAGCGGTCTGACTGTGATGGCTTTTGAGTCAGGGCTGTCTCCTTCCTTCATGCTCCCTCCGGCTGCTGAGCGTTAGATGGTGCGGTTACAGACAGAGAGCCTTCTTGGTGAACGGTGAACACAGAGTTGACCTGGATAGTGAGTAATGGATTCTAGGATGTCTCAGAGGAGTCTCAGCAGCCTACTCATGTGCTCCATTTGGCAGCTTGTCAGACCACTAGGAAAGCAGATCTCTTCTGTCAAAAAAGGGGGATGAAATGGAGATGTTTTAATGAGACCAAACAGAGGAAAACACAGGGAGGGAGGGGCTGTTCCTAAGTCTGAGCTCCTCCAAATGTAGCAAGACATGATATCCAGCTTCAGCTGAAAGGGTAGTTTTTCTGCTCGTCTTTACACCTGAGATGTACTGTAAGGAGTCACTGGGTTCACTAGCAGGACTGGGGCCAGAGGGGTGGCCAGGGGTGACACAGGCCCCTCCTGAAATTTGATTTAACCCCCCATGGTGTCCCCCACTCCTTAGTCAGACGTTGCAGTGTATTCTCATAGAATGCTTTGTATGATATCCTATCAAAAATGCATACACAACAGTATCCTTCAAAGTAGAGCCCCATGAGTGACATTGCATCTTTGACATACAGTTACGTAATTAACGTGAAATTACAGAGGTTAGGTTTAGGCAAGTTAAGTTACTGTGGTCAAGTTTAGGAAAAGAAACATGGTGAGGATGTTCCCTTAAAGGAGCTATATGTAAGAACTCTAAAGCAAATAGTCGTAAAATCCTCCTAATATGTCACAGAGACTAAGGAATAATGTTCATATAACATACTGATCTCATGGACAACAATAGTACAGCCAGAATATTCGAATTTAAAAAAAATTTTTACGGTCCGCAAATCATGTTTATGTTTTGAATTTGTGTTTTGGCCTGTTGCGCCACCCACCGCCATCTACCAGTCACACAGTCAGTAGAGTCTCAGCATCAGTTACAGTTACGACTGAGCTACAGCAGCACGGCAAGCAGCATTAGCAGTGTCCCGGTACATAGCATTAGCAGCCGGCTCCTCCTCAGCTGTATCCAGGCAGCAGTGTTAGCAGCAGAGAAGCCGAACTTGCTCGAACGGTCCGCTGGAAAACCGCAGATCAAGGACGTGGCGATGCGGCCCTGCCACGGCAGCCACCCGTGGGCAAACAAATCAGTCTCCAGTGTGCCGATGTCCAGCAACCTCGAATCTGTAAGGGAGGGGGGGCGGACATGACTCGTGGCAGTATTTTGAATTTGAGTGCAGTAACCGTTTTGGCCACATTCTTACATACAGCGCCTTTAAGTGAATCAAAGTTCACACAGTTATGAACACACGACTCCAGGGGAAGGTCTGTTTTTGGTGACCCACCCCAACCTACCTCCTTGCAAGACAGCTCAGGACTGCTTCCTTGTTTCCGCTGTCAGCATATTGGTCACGTGATCGCAGCCTTTCAAAATGCATTGGATGTGTATGAATTTGGGCACATTAATTTTCGTAGGATAATATACAGAAAACATTTTTTTTTTTAGATTATTTTTTGGGGCTTTTTGCCTTTAATGGACAGGATAGAGTGAACAGTGTGAAGTAGGGAGAGAGAGAGAGTGGGGGGACGATATGCAGCAAAGGGTTGCAAGCCGGAGTCGAGCTCGCAACCTCTGCAGCAAGGCATCGCCTCTATACACAGGCAAAATGACAATATGACAATACTGAGATGCAAAACCACAGTGAGACAAAAAACAACAACCAAGAGATGCTAAACAACTGCAAAGACACACAAAATGACTACAAAGAGACACTAAACAGCCACCAAGAAATGCTAAACAACCACTAAGAGACACAAGGTGACCACAAAGAGACAAATAACTGCCACAAAGGGAAATAAAATGACCACAAGAAGACGCAAAAACCCCACAGAGATGCAAAAACACCACAAAGAGACAAAAAATGACCACAAGAAGACGCACAAACACCACAAAGAGATGCAAAAACACCACGAAGAGACAAAAAATGACCACAAGAAGACGCACAAACACCACAAAGAGATGCAAAAACACCACAAAGAGACAAAAAATGACCACAAGAAGATGCACAAACACCACAAAGAGATGCAAAAAGCCCACAAAGAGACAAAAAAATGACCACAAGAAGACGCAAAAACACCACATAGAGATGCAAAACGACCACAAAGGGATGCAAAACAAACACAAAGACATGGAAAAACAACCACCAAGACAAATAAATGACCACAAAAAGACCATAAAGTCACTCAAAATGACCACAAAGATGCCAAAGTGTCCCCCTTCTTTAAAACTGTGCCCCAGTCTGGCCCCCTGATTCAAAACTTTCTAAACCCGTCCCTGTTGACCAGAGAGGACAGCCAGCGTCTGTCCCGGGATGACCCTCTTCTCGAGTTACTGGATGCTGTGACTCTGTTATGAGATATTGAGACATCCTTCATTACTGCAGTGTGACAGAAAAGCAAAATCATTGTTTCACCGGGCTTTTTAAGACCATCTTGTTTTGCATTCATTGGAACAAGAGCGACATTGTGATGCATCCGGGTCACATGGGACGGACAGATGAAAACAGCAGCAGGAGGGCAGGACAGCGGCTGCTCAGGGCCAGCATGTGCTCTGCAAACAGACACAGAGACAGTTGTGTGAAAGTATTGTCAGCTGATACCTCTTGTTCAGTAGCTGAGTTAATCCCATTGTCTGGCTTACATAATTCACCCCAAGCAATCTGCGGTTGACCCACTTTCTTTTAAAGCACCGAACGTCAGCTTTTGAACAATTGGTCCTTTTTTCCAAGATTGTTAAAAAATGCGGAATCAGGTGCTCTTTGGCTTTTTGAAGTTCATTTATTGTAGGGGACCGACCTTGTTGTTGCAAAAATGCAAACAGGAGGAGATACAGAGCAGCACAGTGACTATAATGCACTCATAGACATTTTAATATATGTCTCTGCACAGTCTCTTAATCACACATACACTTATGCTTCACTGTCAGACTGTGGGGCTTTTAAGGCTGATTTCTGGCTGCATGCCTCGATTTAGCTCCTTGGCTCACCTTTCCTCAGTTCCTGCTTTGTGCGTGTGTGTGTGTGTGTGTGCGTGCGCATGTGTGTGTGTGTGTGTGTGTGTGTGTGTGTGTGCGTGCGTGCGCGTGCGCGTGTGCTGCTTCACAGGCTAACAGCTGAAGATGGATGGCTCTGTATGCTCAGCTAATCATTGCTTAGATATTGGGACAAATATAACAGTCTCAGCTCATTTCTTCCAACAGGTCTCTGCTTGTCTGTTTTTATGTTTGACTGTTTCACTGTGGGTGTGTGTATGAGGGTTTTGGGGTGCTCATCAAGTGCAGCACACTCCTGTTGTTTCCAATGCTTTTTGTCAATGCACAGTTATGCTTGTCTACATGAGAGGATCAATAAGTCGAGCTATTCGATTGGGAGTGTGCTGTGTATTGATTTTATGACTGGTGTGGTATTAAGGGGTTACAGAGTCAGCATGTTTCAGTTTTGCTGATTTGAATTCAGAAGCCGACTGTCAGTCTATCATATACGATACACCACGCAGAGGTGGTCTCTGTGCCAAGGATTAAAAAAAAAAAGAAACTTTTAATGTTGACCTACAAATGTGTGTTTAATGTTTCACCTTCTTAATTCAACAAAGGCCTGACTGTGTCTTTTCATTTTCATTTTTCAGAGTCTATTGAAGACACGGGAGAAAAGGGTAAGTGTTTTGTAATGCTGTTTAAAATCAAGAGGAATTACAAGTGTCTTTAGCTGTTCTGCATCTGTTAGATGTTGAGTTTAGGCCAGAGGAGGTTCAGCAGCCTTCAGTCTGGCAGAGGCAGCCCACATCAAAACACTATAATCAGCTTGTATCAGCCGGAAGTGTGTCATAAGATTTTTTTTCCATTATCCCAGTTATATGTATAAATGCAGACTTTTATTCAGAGTGCATTTTGTAGTGTATAGATGAACTGAAAGATACCAGAACACAATTACATTTTATTTTTAGATGTTCTAGCAGCCTGGCTGTAGGGATAACAATGTTGGTCTGTCAGTGAGTCGATGCACCACTTTAGTGCAGTGAAATATATAATATTGGATAGATTGCCATTAGAAATTTACAGAAGTGTGCACACATTCATGGTCCCCACAGGATGCATCCCACTGACTTTGGTGATCCCTGACTTGCAAAGATGAGGTTCATTTTTCAAGGTGCAAGGTTATTTATTGTCAAATAAACAATAATTACAAGAGCAGTTATTGTCAATAAAAAACTAGGGTCACAGATTCCTCCAACAATGCAATTTAAGTATTTATTAAACATAGTAATGATTTAAAATCACACAGGTAGAGAAAAAGAGAAGCTAAATATAAGGATATAAAGTAGTGCAAAATTAAGTAAACGATAAATGTAACATAATTAAGATATGAAGGAAGTGATATACAATGTACAATGTATGCTTTGATTTAAAGGAAGGTACACTGTCTTTATGTAATATACAGTGATCAGCCAAAACATTAAAACCACTGGTGGGTGAAGTGAATAACAATGATCATCTTGTTACAATGCAATGTTCCATTGGTAAACTTTTGATCCTGGCATTCATGTTAATGCTACCTGATGCACTCCACCCACCCGAACACCGTTGTAGACCAAGTAAACCCCAAGTAAATGGCACTTGTCAATGGCAGTGCCCCCCAGCAGGACAACACACCATGCCACACCACCTTAACTGCTCAGGAAGGACCCGAGGAATGGGACAAAGAGCTCAAGGCGTTGACCTGACCTCCAAATACCCCAGATCCCAATCTGATCGAACATTTGAGGGACATGCTGGTACCCCGGAGGTACCCCCGATCCATGGTGGGCCCTCCTTGGACAGGACTTGGTTCTGACCTGTCAAGGCATGAACACAGGACCTTTGGGTGGTATCCTATAGTGTCTGGCACCAACGCGTTGGCTTCAGATCTTTTGGATCCTGTTGGTTGTGAGGTGGGGTAATAGCACATCCCATAGATGTTTGATCAAACTGGGATTTGGGGAATTCGGAGTCCAGGTCAATGCCTTGAGGTCTCTGTTATGTTCCTTGGTCCACTCCTGAGTAGTTTTTGTGGTGTGACATGGTGCCATAAGGGGGGGTACCTGGTCTGCACTGATGTTTAGGTGGGTGGAGCGTGTTTGGTGGCAACCACATGAATGTCACAATTCAAGGTTTCCCAACAGAACATTGCACTGTAACAAGATGATGAATGTTGTTCACGTCACCTGGTGGTGGTTTTAATGTTTTGGCTGATCGGTGTAGAGTGACAGCAATCTGGAAATCCATCGGTAAAAAAAAAAAAAAAATTCTTCCTTTACCTCTGGAGGCACAGCCCGGAGTTTTTCGACTAACTGGAAGTGAAGGGGCCTCCTACACCTGCACGTCTCGGCTGTGCGCCCTCCATTGTGATTGGCTAAAGCGCAGCATTGTTCAGACTCAAAGCCCCCCCCCCCAGTCGTCTTTCACACAGGGCTGCCAACAGATTCTACAATGTAGATTGCAGAATCTGTCTTGAGAGATTAGAGTGACAGTAACCAGAGTGAGAGTTCAGAGTTCAGCAGTCTTACAGCCTGTGGGATGAAGCTGTGACATATCTTGACAACTATTGTATGGATTGCCATGAACCTTGGAGCTAGTCCCCCTCTGGATGAAATGTAATCACTGTAGTGATCCCCTGACTCATCTAGCGCCACCATCAGATTAAAATATCAGTTTGTGCAAATACTTTGGTTGATGACCAAATATCTGCAAAACTAATAAAACTCTCATCAGCCTCTGCTGTATTTTGTGTTTGGTGCTAATCAGCAAATGTTAGCATGCTACTGACATGCTCAACTAAGATGGTGAACACTGAAGCTAGGTCTACAAAACATCAGCATGCTGGCACTGTCATTATTAGCATGCTGATGTTAGCATTCACCTCAATGCACCACTGTGCCTAAACACAGCCTCACAGAGCTGCTAGCTTAGCTGCAGACTCTTAGTCTTGTTTATTCTGGAAATGTAAAAAAACACGCTGTCACTGCCTTAAAGAAATACTACACCCATAAAATGACCATTTAAATATCAATTAGCCATGCTGTGTTATCTTCAGTTTGTGAGGAAAATTTTGTTTTTCGCATGCCTCCATGGAAAAGGGCGAACATATTTATTTATTGATCACTGATATCCATTTTTAAATCCTTCATTCATCGTGGAGGCATATGTGAAAGTTTTCTTCACAAATTCAAGGGTACATCGTATAACCAATTGATTTACAAGTGATCATTTTGTGGGTGAAGTATTCCTTTAATATGCAAATTTATGAACTAAACATAATATGTATTTTTCACTCTCATAGTCAGATTTAAATGCAGCTACACGAAACTGATATCTTTACAAAATTTTGCAGCAATCAGCACCAGAGACGACACCAAAATAACTGCTCAGAGTCTCAAATACTGTAAATCTATCTACTGCAATAATATTTCTCCCACCACACAATGTTAGAAATTATTAGATTCTGAATCAAAGTCGTGTTCATGTGAGTGCTGAGTTATTAGAGCTGACTTTGTGCATTTGGTCATATTTCTTTTTACATTTTCATACTAACCCAGTGTGCATTACTACAGTGAATGATAATGATGAAATACTGATTGTGACATCAAAAATGATTTTTTTTATTTGCTATTAAAAACTAAAGAAATTACACTGACTCACACCAGTGTTATTATTGCAAATGAAAATGGTTAAATGCTCACCACTGATGATAGATGATGATGATTTGTTTATATTTGTCTGCTTTCAGTTATATACTTGCTGGTGTACCATGTCATCTTCATCATGTTTGTGTGGGCGTACTGGCAAACCATCTTCACCAAGCCCATGAACCCCCTGAAGGAGGTGAGTGTGTCTGTCTGCGATGCAGTGTTACTGTCGGCTGGGATGATGAGGCACGGTGAGAAGTGCAGATGTAGGTTACAGCCTCCCCGTGTGATTGAACACTGCATTTAGACTAATAATACTTTCCAGTGGAAGTGCCTGGAGCTGCTCTGTAATGGCTCTGATCCTGACCGCAGCACTTTGGCTCTGCAGGGTGAACACACACATGCATACATCTTAGCAAGGGCGCTGAGAGAAAAAAACAAAAAAAAAAAAAACAAGCCACCTTTGCGTTTCAATTCTAACCGAGGCGGAGCTCCTCATATGAAGGCTTTCTTTTATGAGATGTGAAAACTGGATCACTTGAGGTTTTGGGATTGTAATAAAAGTCACACTTCATGTGTGCTGTGCTATTTGTTATCATCAGAGTTATTTGTTTCCAGTGTTCAATCATAAATTGCCTGAGTGGCTGAAAGTAATATCTCAGCTCAGTGCTGCTTTGCTCCCATTTGCCTGCTGGGGCAGAAAGAATCAAAACAAATGGAAGACACAGAAATTCCCTTCGCAGCCTACTGAGTTGCGGCTCCACAGCGACAGACATCCCTGCGTAACTGACACTAAGACAGCTTGTAGCTCATCTGACAAATGATTTGACTCTGTTTGAAAAATGCGAGGATTTGATTCATTAGAAATCAACAGCACTGCTCACAGATTGAGCTATTGCTAAATCGCAGGTGTTGTTTGTCTTTCCCTGTGCGTTCCGCCCTACATAGTTTCACCTGTCCTACTCTGACAAAGAGCTGCTGGAGCGTGAAGATCGGGGAGAGTCTCAGCAGGAGATCCTGAGGAGGATAGCCAAGGATCTGCCCATCTACACCCGCACCAACTCTGGAGGTACAGTACAACGCACACTGCTGCTGCTGCTGCTGCTGCTGCTGCTGCTGCTGATGATGCAGAACAACAGGAGCAGTCTAGACTGACATGCAGCTCTCAGAGCTCATTTCACCCCCGTCACCTTGTAAGTCTGTGGTCAAGTGTTAGACAGGCTGCTGCTGACGGCTGTGTGATTGAATTGGCTGTGTCTCCTCAGCAATCCGTTTCTGTGACCGCTGCCAGCTGCTGAAGCCTGATCGATGTCACCATTGTTCAGTCTGTGATAAGTATGGCTCTCTGCTCATGCACCTATAGAGATCAGACCACACCATATATTGCATTCTGGCAGGCAGAGTAAGATTCAATTACACTGACGTCTGACCCTGCTGTGTTACAGATGCATCCTGAAGATGGATCACCACTGCCCGTGGTATGTAGTGGCAATAGGATTTAAAACTAACATCAGTGGCACTGTACTGATGTACCACTGTACTCACATGGTGTTGTTATATCATTATCATTAAATCATCTCCTTTTCATTAAAGGCCCCAGAGTATTCAGGCTCCATGGTTTCATCGGGGGAGAAACAGTTTTTCTTTAGCATCACACTTCACAGTCACATTCCAGTTAACAGGGCCTGTAAACACACATCACATGGAAGCACAAAGAGCTTGTGTACTGGACAGATTTTAATACAGTAACCTCTCATCCTGCCAGATGACACGTTCTGGCAGCAGAGGGAGACAAAACAAATCTGCAATAATTCAGCTTCATGAAAGAAGCTGAATAGAAGCATATGTCATAAAGCAATAGGTGGTTTTCTATAATGCTCTGGTGTGAGTGTGTCCTCAGGATCCCTGATTGGTTGAGAATAACAGGGCTTCTAATTCACATGAAACAAACCTGCTGATTGAAGGTTTCCGTATGAAGCTCTGCCAGTTGTGATGCATTTACCTGTTTTTCAGGCTCAAACAGGACGGAAAGTGGGTCATTTAAAAAAATTGCCTGGAATAGTTATTTGCACATCCACAAAACCCCCAATATTTACTGTTCCTCTGCTGCACTGTGTTTCTTCAGTTCCTGTATCTCTGCATTAAAGAAATACTTCAACCACAAAATGATTATCTGTATATCAGTTACTCAACCTGTGTCACAGTGAATTTGTGAAGAAAACTTTGTTTTTCTTGCATGCCTCCACGGTGAATGAAGGATCTAATTATGGAGACAATTTTTGATGAACTGGAGTAAATGGGGGCCATGTTAACCACAGCAAATCTATATCAAAACATTTGTTTACAAAATCTCATACAACTTGTTTAGTATAATCCAAGTCTCATGTATCTAGTCATGTGCTCAGTACATCCCCCAAACACATGCGTTTTGGCGAAAACATTATAATATAAAACACTTTGGCATACTTTAAAACTTAAATCAATAGCCAAGGCTATTATTTGCTTAAATCACTGAAATCAGGAGGCCTATATATGGGACAGGTCTTTAATTCCTTTCACACAAAACTGTTGCTCAGCAAAGATGAGAAATACGATCAAATTGATTCTTTAAAACAGTATGAATAGACAGCACATCAGAGAGAGAGAGTGTAACGGTGCTCCAGGATTACGACACCCGGCATACCGTTAAAACAATACTCACAGCTTGGATTATTTATTATGAAAAATGCTTGAATATGAATAACTTACAGGGTAATCAAGGAATGGACACTTAATTTGAGGTAGCCAACAACCCAGTTTGATTCGTCCGAAGAATGTCGATAAAAAAAGAACTACTGGGCCTCTAATTGGGACTAGGCCCTCCAGTCACTTGGACAAAATATCAACATTCAGTGACCAGTCCGGCGCTATGGCAGGTGTCAGTACACGGCATTTCGCAGGAGGCAACTGATGAATTTTTGAGACATAATGATCAGATGTCATTGAGAGGTAACCAAAAGGGCCTAAACTACGCACTGGAGGGATATTCAGCATTTTATTGTTGAGAAGGTCGATGAAAAGCTTAAATTACAAGCAAAATTTACAGGTCACAGTGTACGCTTGTGAACCGCATCTCGTTGCCACTGAAGTTCAGGTTTTTGGCTCAGTATATGAGAAAAGGATAAGGGCCTTTTTACCATCTTTACCAAGAGTGTCTCTCCGTTGGTTTGGTGCTACAGTATTTACACTGAATCATTCAGCATAATGTTTGCCAACCTTTGTTATCTCTGCGATCACAGATAAGTTAATGAAGCTAAACTCCAGAAGTTAACGTTAGCTTAACTAGAGCCCTTTGGACAACAGCTAACAATGATGTACGATCACCAAAGTACAAAACTAGAACAAAATAGGCTAATGAACTCCCAGCAAACAAGGTGACATGATGAACAACGCAGCTAGGAGCTAACGTAAGGCTAACTTTAGCTAACGTTAGCTAGAGATGTTAGAGATAACTTTATATTTATTTCCAGTAAAGTGACAATATGTTGGCTCAAACATGATGTTGACTTACCTTAGAACAGATGTAGACATCATTGTTAATCTTATTCACGTTGAGTTGATGTTGTGGTCTAACGTTACCACACACCTTTATCCAAAGGAGACACTTTTCTCGGTTGAGATGTGGTTTAGAAAAGGATAAAAAATATGCCCCGTCGCCCAGCCTCTCAGGATACCTTGTGTCGGGGTTGCATGTACCCCATGCACACCGTTTGACCATTTTTAAACCTCAAATCTCAGAAAAAGCTCATAAAACTGAACAAAACTGACTGACTTTCTGTAATGCATTTCAATGAACGTCCAGGCAGAGAATGTCTGAGTGTATGGGAATGGCTATATGCACTGTGATTGGCTGATCACGTTTGAGGGCGGGGCTTAGCCAGAGGTTAATTGGACTAAATAAGACTTTGATCATACTGTATGAGTTGATTAAGAGTTTTTAAACAGATGTTTTGCGATAGTTTTGCTGTTGTTAAATGTGGACCCCCTTTCACTCCAATTTATCAAGAATTTTCTCCGCTTTTGGATTCATCCCTCACTGTGGAGGCATGCGGGAAAAGTTTTCTTCATAAATTCAGTGTAACACCGAGTTGAGTAACTGATATGCAAATGATCATTTTGCAGGTGGAGTTTTCCTTAAAGAAAAGCTCTGAACATGTATTAATGATGATTATATTCGCAAACTGACCTGCATCCTTTCATTCGTGCTACAGGGTGAACAACTGTGTGGGATTCTCCAACTACAAGTTTTTCATGCTGTTCTTGTTGTATTCGCTACTCTACTGCCTTTTTATAACTGCGACAGATCTTCAGTACTTCATCAAGTTTTGGCTGGTAAGTAAAGCGTGCCCACAATTGATTATACTGTTTTTTTTTTCTTTAGAAAGTGTTGGGTTAGCACTAAATATCTCTAATCAAATCTGAAAGATGCAGTCTGTGTTAAACATTTGGTATTTTTCTTTTTCACAAGGCTGGAGGTAGAGCACATTTCCGTCTGAGAGAATACCTGGTATGAACTTGTTAGTGGCACTGAGATAGAAGCACTTCAGTGAGCTCCCCTAGAACACTTGAGTAGAAATCTCTCAGATCCCGCTCAGTCTCAGAGTGTCTTAGTGTCCTGTGTGTGTTGTGTTTTCAGCTGTGTTGATTGTCTGGTTGTTATTTCCCCGTCAGAACGGCCTCCCAGACACTCAGGCCAAGTTCCACATCCTGTTCCTCTTCTTCTCGGCCTCCATGTTCTCCGTCAGCCTGGCTTCACTTTTCATCTATCACTGCTGGCTCGTCTGCAAGAACAGATCCACTCTCGGTAGGTGGCGTGCATCGTACCTACATGTGTGTGTGTGTGTATCCTGTTTGTGGATGCAGTAATTATATAGCCTCTGTAGGACAGCAGCTCGCTCAGCTCTGTGTATGCTCACTATCTGCTGCTTATGGTGTCGTCTTTGCACTAATGATGAAGGATGTTTCATTGCATTTTTCCCACCGTCAGTCACCGTCCTCATCAGTGCAGTGATTTGATGAGCCTCTCTGGGCCGTTATCAGACGGAGCAGTCTCTCATTATGTGTGCACAGTGGCACACTTTGTCTGTGCGTTTAGGAGAGTGGATTATCCAGAGGAGTATGTTACAGTGTAATGCAAAGACACAAGGCTCAGAGCAGTAAGCAGCTTAGTAACAGACACTGCTAGGAAGAGAAGTCACACATGGTGGCACAGTCCTCAGATCTGCTACTCCTGCACAACAAAGACACTTTCATTCAGAGTTGTTTCATTGACGCAGCCATTCAGCGGGAGTCGTTCATGTGTTGTCTGAATGGGCTCCTGCTATTAATCTGAATAATAGATTACAGAAAGACTGAGAGGGAGTGCTGCATGTATTCATCTCCATGTCAGACTGACTCTTCTTCTCCGTGTGTGTCCTCTCAGAGGCTGTGCGCGCTCCAGTGTTTCGCCACGGCACCGATAAGAATGGCTTCAGTCTGGGCTTCAGTAAGAACTTCCGCCAGGTCTTTGGTGATGAAGTTAAATACTGGCCTGTTCCTGTTTTCTCTGGGTAAGGTCTCATGGGCAACTGTCAAAGATATTCAAAAGACATGAATATATATCTTATTTTCACCCCTCTGTTATCTAGTTTTATATTTTGCACCTACTGTTATGTTATTTTAGTCTTTTTGTATAATGGAGTCTTTGTCTCTGCACTCTCCAACTTTGCACTGCAGCTGCTGCACAGCAGTTTCCCTCAGGGTATAAGTCTACTTTATCTTACCTAATCTTATTTTATCTCTTCTTAAGAAAATCCTTTAGGTTTATTTATCAGATAAAATTATATTTAAAAAGAAATATAAGATTAAGAAGGGCAAACTAAAGAAACAAATTCAGTAAAGCAAGTCTATAATTATTGATAACTTCCCCCAGCAGGTTGTTTGACAGTCTAGCAGCCCTCATGACCTGTAATTTGAGTCTAGACTGAAGGACAAGCAGGTCAGAGACTTCCGGCTCTGCTTCAACAACCACAACCCAGTGCACCTGCGGTGTGGCTACGACTAAAAATGGGATCAGGAAAATCAAACCTGTTGAGAAGCCACAGATCAGGGTTATGGGTCTCAATAGAGGACTTTTATTTTGACAAAAGACATTTACGCCATACATTGATGCAGAAAAGGAACAAAGTGGTACAAAAAAAATCACCAAAAAGTACAAAATTAAATGTTTAATGCTCTAAACTTTCTGGCAGAGGACAATAGACCCCCCGTTTTAAAAAACCTGAAACAAAACCTACATCCTTGGCAATGCGTCAAAACATGATGTCAAGGGCATCTTTTCTTTCTTTATTACACACTGATCAAGTGTACGTGAGTGCATTATGCTGGTATGTCCAGTTTATGAGTTATTAGGAGTTATATAATGCATTAATATTTATGGAGGCCACTTGGTCCAGTTGTATTTTTAACACACGCATCTGTATACAGCACAAACTCGACTCAGAGTTCAAAAAGGTCTAGTGTGTAGGATTTAGTGGCGTCAGTGGTGAGGTTGCAGAACTGAGGCTTCTCCTGTGTGCCAAGTGTATAGCAGATGGCTTGCAAATGCAAAAATGTGAAAGAGCCAGTGTTTGATATGTCTATTCTGGGCTACTTTAGAAAAATATGGAGGACTCGGTAAAAGAGGACCTGCTCGCGAATTTGTGTTTCCTAGGATGCCGAAGGCTTGACCCGCCATACTCTGCCTTACACTGCCTCTAATTGGCTAACTCTGATATTCTTACCCTGACCAAGCAACAAGTACTAGTCTATCAGAGGGAGAGTAAGGCAGGTCATGCCTTTACTGACATAGGAAACACAAATTTGCAACCCGCTTCCAATGTAGATAGAAACAACTCATTCTAAGGCAACAAAAACACAATTTTTTTTAGTGTGGCATGGTGGTGCAGTGGTTAGCATTGTCGCCTCACAGCAAGAGAGGTCCTGGTTCAAACCCAGGGTGGGGGGGTTCAAACCCTAGGGTGGTGGAGCCCTTATGTGCGGAGCTTGCATGTTCTCCCCTGTCAGCGTGGGTTTTCTCCATGTACTCTGGCTTCCTCCCACAATCCAAAGACATGCAAGTTGATTGGTGACTGTAAATTGCCTGTAGGTGTGAATGGTTGTCTGTCTCTATGTGTCAGCCCTGTGATGGTCTGGCGACCTGTCCAGGTTTAAGTTTAAGTTTATTTACTTTATTAATCCCCCTGAGGGGAAATTCAATGTTCAGTGTTCAGTGTTTCAATGTTGTACCCCACCTCTCGCCCAATGTCAGCCATGATAGGCTCCATTCTCCCCGTGACCCCCATCATGAATATTATGTACCCTTTCTGCCAATAGGTGGCCCTAAATCCTACACACTGGCCCCCTTTAAGGTCATTATGATGATGATGTACAGTTTTTAGGTGCTATATCATATCATGTTAAAATCTAATACTGTGTTTCAAAGTCACGATTGCATCTATAACTGTAATTCATTCATATTGATTATATAAATCCTGACAATCAGCATCAATAGGCACAGCGATGGTACACATCACACACTTCTTCAGTGCCTCTGTAGTTGAAATGATCTGACTCAGGGTGTCAGAGAAGTGCTGAATGAATGAAGTCGCTCCTCAGCTCGGGGATTAGAGAGCCCTGCCACTTAGTTTGAAACAAAATGGTTCAGAAGAGGGGAAAGTCCCAGAGGAGACAAGAGAGCACCATCTTCAGTAAACAACAACAACAACACCACTGTGAATTCATGCCGAAGCTCCAGTTTTGCAAAAATTAGTAATTCATGCTGACAGAATGAATAATATTATGAATATACAGCTTTTTGGCAATCGCAGGCAAATTATTAAAACATAAACCCCAAGTTTTTACAAACAAACAATTCAGCTCAGATTCAGCTGCTAATGGGAGACAGAAGCTCATTTTGTTGCAACAACTGGTTACTATGGATTTATTTATTCTGTAAACTAAGCCCCCACTGTGATACTCAAACTCATGGGAAGCTTCTTCTCTTATGTTGCTTTGCAAAACAATTTCTTTGTGGTAACAGTGAAGCAGATTTATTACCTGCTAGTTATCTAAACATCTTTCTACTGTGTTTACTGCTGGCTTCCAGTTTAGGTGACGGGTGCTCGTTCCCAACCTGTCTGGTGAATCTGGACCCGGAGCAGCCTTCATCACCCACTGGCTCCAACCCTGCCAACAAGGGGTGAGTAAAACACGTAGAAACACACACATCACATCACATAAAGTAAAGCACAGAAACAAAAGAGCTGCACAACTGCAAGTCAGCCCTCTGTAGTTAATTATGCCTGTAGGTTTAATGATGCAGGGGAATCACCTTGAAACAGTCACAGCGTTGCAATTTTAATTAATAATTCAGATCATAGGATTATGATGATAAGAGAATTTTATTCAGAGAAGAAAGTGAGCCCAAAATACTCCACAGCTGGGGCCAGGATTCCTGGCTTCACCCCTGCTTATATGTATTTGTGTTTGCAGTGCAGCAGAAGGCCGCCAGTTCCCCTCCAAGCCGCTGAGGGAGTCTCAGAGCCGACTGCTCACCAGCACTCCCTCCTGGTCAGAGAGTGACAGTGCAACAGACAAAGACAGGAAGGGTGAAGTTATATTTCTTTTAATAAGTTTCTCAATAGCTGCCTGCTCACATAACCCCGAGAAAACTTTTTACTAAGAGAAACACTGACTTTTAATGACTTAAATGTTCGTTCAGGTGCCAGTAACCCAGGGATGACCATAGAGAATGAAGCGTAACCAGAGTCACAGATGGAGGTGACACCTTCAAGAAAAAGTGAGTGTTTCAGTCCTATAGAAACTATCCACATATCAAGATATAAAATCAACATCTATTACCATGTGTTTCATCCAACAGGTCTATGCCGCCCCCTCCTCAGTGTTTGTGCCTATCAGAATGTGACGTGGTGACATCATCAATATTTGTTGTTTTCCGTACTGCACCCTGCTTCTGAGAGGTTTACATGACTGAGATCAGACTTATATAGGCCTAATTATCATCCGTCAGTATTACTCTTATTGCAATCAGCAACAACTCCTGCTGCTATCTGAAAGTTTTTGGGCTTCAGAACAAATTGCATTCCAACAATCATGTTTTGTTTGTATATGAATAAGCACAGAGCAGCCATGGACGAGATGTTTTGCACTTTGTATACTAGAAGAACAATCTGAGCTGCTTTTGTATGTCCCAGTTCATGTCACGGAGACAGAATTATCTACATGTTTATTTGTTATTTCCGTAGCTTAGCGCAGAGGTAAATGCTGTTTTGAGTCTGCCAAATGTTTGCACATGAAGTATAGAGTAGTAGTGGTGTTGATGTGATGTAACTGATATTCCTTTGGCCATTTTTTTTCTTCCAGTGAAGTATTTTGTTTTGGAGGGGGGAGGGGGGACAGGTGTTCCACCCACCATGTTGAGTGTCGTGGAAGTTGAATCGATGCATGCTCTCATCTCAGGATGTCAACACAAACACACCTTGTTGTAGTGAACTGTACCACAGGATGTTCTCCCCTTTGCTTGGATTTATTTGAAAAAAAAAAAAAGTGTAGTCGTTAGTAATTACATTTGAATAAGGGCTCTTCTGACTTGTTATAGCATGAGTGAGGACGTTGCTGTCACACTGTAACACCTGAAAGCTGGTGCTGAGACAGCGTGCGTCCCCTCTGCCAAATATCTAATCAGCTGTCTGGTAGCATAACAGTACACGTCAAACTGCCGGCCAAAAGCTTCCTGACTGTCTCTGGAGGGCCGGCACACCGGCCGCCAGCAAAAGCCTCTGTGTAATGCTGCAGATCTGTTCACCATCACAAAGCAGATACTGTGGAGTGTTTTTCTAACTCACAACATGATGTTGTGGATGTACTACAGAGCAAAAAAACAAAGATAATCAGCTCCAGCTGCTTTGTGCAGTATCTTTTCACCTTCTGAGGATTCTGTCTGTTCTCGTCTCCGACTGGAAATGATTAAACCATCACTGAAAATTTGGTAGAATGTATGCTTGTTTAAAAAAAAAAAGCTTCATTGTGACAGTCAGTGTCAATCTATATTTTTCTATTCTTCTGTCTGTATGACTCAAGAGACAATATGGATGTGTGAGGCAATGTACTGTACAATTGTGATGCCTTAAAGAATAAAATGAGCTCATCTTCAGCCTCCTTCAGCTCCTTGTTGCACGTCCAGAAGAACTCTGAGTCATTAAAGGGATGTAACGGGCCAAGAGCATTGTACGGTAGAAAAAGTTTCAAGCCTTTATTTACAAAATAATCTAAAAACAATCCTCTTGTATATTGCATATTCCTTTTTTACTCCGTTACAGTGTGGAAGATGTGCTGCAGAAAGAAGGAGAAGCGTTTCAGTTATCAGTCTCTGACGCTCGGGGAGGTTAAAAGAAGTCTTGAACCTACACGTCATCACACACCTATGGAAGTTCAGGATACTACTATAACAACACAGCATTTATTCAAACATTTTAGTACATGCGGCTGTTCTACGCAGCATGAATGAACGGGAAAGCAATACATAAAAAAAAAAAAAAGGTCATTCAAAAGGCCAGAGCTACAAGTGTAGTGAACTCCACTGGAACAGAAAGATGCATGTTAAAAGGCAATGCTATCATTTTTCCATCGAGTAACAGTTTTCTCTTATTTTATTACAACACTAGAACTCTACAAACCCTTAAATTCAACTAAAATTTACTCTCAACAGAGTAGTTCAGGGTAATCTCAGCATGTCTTACTGCAGGCGAGTGTTTTTATACTTTTCAGTTTTTTAAGGTCTGGTGAATTTGGTTGAAATCAACTGCAAGACCATGTCGACAAGGTGATGCATGTGTTCATATGTGCTTGTGTCAATGAGGGTGTTTACATGCACAAACAACCCATATTCCTCTGTATGCACCTAGTACATACTGTAAATATCCTTGAAAGCAATTATTCTGAACGTTATCATGAATACAAACAGGAAGAACTAATGGTATAAAGGAAAATGAGTTCACTTGTTTTTTTAGTATCCCCATCTGCATACTGTATAAGCAGATTACACCGGTTAGTTAAAGGCTTCTCACAGTGGGATTAGAGCTTATTCAGGTCATTACAAACATTATCTTTATATGAACAAATGAAAAAAACTTCAATGAAATATTAATGTGCACATAAACACACTCCCTTTCTTGTTATCATAAAAGAGATCCAATGACAGAAGGGGACACGTGATGTCCCAGCGTCGAGTGGAGCGTCTGTTGGATGTCAGATAACCAAGACAATAAATTAAAGTTTTAAAAGAACAAGAAAGCAGCTAATATTAAGGCTGAACGTGGTGAGAGCGGTTGTTGTGATGCTAAAGGTTTATGTTCTCAATGTAAAATGGGAACGTAGAGAAGGCAACAAAGAGGAGAAAGACACCAGAAACATTGTTTTCAGCTTTCCATATAAAATCAGGTTAGAGCTTTAAAGTGCAAAAACATTTCTACAGAACATTTTAGGAAAACTAAAATCCCATCTTTTCAAGCATGTTAAATTCAACTGATTTACACCGCTTCGTAGGAATAAAAGACTAAACTCACACACACACACACATGCAGCCAGCAGGGGCATGTGTGAGGACAGCTGGGATTTTTTTTGACCATCATATTCAGTTGTCTAAGGTGAGCAGAGCCTATGAGAAGCAGTTTGCTAAATGACGTGTGTATGTTTTCTTGTTTATCCATTATTGTTATCATCATCCGGGTGGCGAAGCTTGGCTTTAGCGCCGCACCGATTGTGCATGTGAACTGCAGGATGGGAAGAGTTTCAGAAGTGATGTCACGACTGCTGCTTGTTTGCCTCCTCTTCGTAAGCGTTCCCTGTTCCGTTCTGGACGTAGGCTGAGCCGGAGCCGAGCCCATACAAGTGACCACAGTACTTGGCATCATCGATATGATCCTCAAAGAACATCTGGGGGAAAACCACAAAACATAGGATACTGAGAACAGACACATGTTCATTTAAAGGAAAACTCACCTTGTGTTAGGTTGAATTTGTGAAGAAAACTTTGGGATTTTTCTTTGCATGCCTTCAGTTAATGAAAAATCCAAATATCGGAGCAAATTCTGGATGAATTGAAGTCTCATACTTCCCAAAAAGACAGCTATTTCTGCTGGGGAACTGAACTGAAAGAAAAATGTATCTATGCCAGACTCCAAAAAAAAAAAAAAACAAATATGAAAAAAAACAATAATTTAACTTTGCTGAACAGGAAAGCTGCTGATCTACCACTGCCTTGATTTGTAGTTTGTTTGTGCTATTGTGTGACTTTGGTAAATCCAAACTAACCCTTCAAAACACCAAACTCACACAATAACATAAACAAACTACCTATGGAGGCAGCAGTAGACCAGCAACTCCTGTGTTCTGTGTCATAAAATTGCTGTCTTTGTCAATGGAGTCTGGCTTTAAAGAGAGCAAAGACAAGTTTCACTCCTAGTTCAGTTTCCCTTCGATAAACGTCTATCTGTTTAGGAAGTACTGAGCATACGACTGGATAAATGACACTTAGATAACACTGCACAAGTTGTGTGAGAGTTTGTAAACAGACTTCTTGATGTAGCTTTGTTGTTGTTAATGCGGACCTCAATGACTTCAATTAATCAAGAATTTTCTTTGTTTTTGGATTCTTCATTTACTGGAGGCATGCGGGTAAAGCAAGATTTCTTCTCGAATTCAATGTAACACATGGTGAGTAAATGATGTGAAAATGGTAATTTTGCAGGCGAAGTATTACTGTAATGTCGTATTATGAAATACATCTGGTTTAAATCATATCCACTGGAACTGGTCATAAACTTACGCTTATGTTTACATTATGTGAAATACAGGCACTGGAGTGTTTCTTCACAGCTCAATGTGCTGGTAAATTATGCTATAAAGTGAACTGCACAGCCATTAACGCGGAATTGTTTAAATCTGTCCGTTTTATATGTTGTCTGTGTCTTTTTTTTTATCATTTACAGCTTTGCAAATCACTTTTTTTTTTTTTAGAAACTCAGATTTCATTAGATAAGTATTCTGAGAAATGTACACATCTCACTGTAGTTTCCAGAGAGCTGCACTGTGTTTACAAAATAGAAGACAGAAGCAAGTGACTGGTTCATTAGTCTATGAGAACATAAGTTAATTTACAAAAACAAATCTATTTTGACAGGCAATTTATCACTGAAGTTACTTTTTCCAATAAAAAATGCTAAAAGACATTAAGTTTTCTGTTCTCAAAATGTGAAAATTGTGTGAATCTGCTTCTATTAAATATATTCAGGTTACATTTAGAGTGACAGCATATTGTCATTCAGGCATGTCACATGATGTTTGTGATGACTTCACTCAGACATGACCAAACATTAATGTAAATTCTTGTTTAAAGCTGGAGAGTAGGACTTTAACTGAGAAATGAAAGTCATGCCAAACAAGGTCACACAATGCTGATTACGCCTATCGCTGCCAGGGAAAGCTCTCTGTATTTCGCAATTTCTAGAGCTGTGGTGTCTGTGTCGACTTTCTCATCCGGTGCACCAGAGGTGACGCATTTTATGTTAACCAGCCAGAGCTGAAGGGGGCAGGAAGGGGAAAAGACCATTGCAAAGAAGCAGCAGCTATGAGTGCTGCACATTTATTAAGTCATTAGTGCAGCTGACATAACTATACATGAATAATATCGAGAGAAATTGTTGGTTAGATTATTGCTGTTTGTACTGTGTGTTTTTTTCAATTCTTTTTGTATTCTGGTCTGGTACGTGAAGAATCCTCAAGAACTGGAGATTAACTCTTCTACGGTGGTTCATAGTTTATCAAACTGATTTTGAATATAAAAGATGATTGCTATAAAAATTGTTAAAGGGATCTGTCTCTTAATCTCTGCATGTTTTATCTTGTGCTGCAGCAGCCTTTGTTTATCTGATTGGATTGCGTTTAGACTTGTGCCGCGTTGAAAGATACTGAAATGTTACTTCGTAAGACTGGCTTCATGGCTATTATGTAAAACTGACCAGGGTGCGTATTCAGATATGAGACTTCCATGTTAAATTGCCATCAGATTAACAGTCTAAAACGGTTTAAGTAACACTTTGACCTGGCTTTGCAAGGTTTGAGTTTCACAGGGCTCTCCTCTCTGCCCTGAGGAGCCTACCTCTCTCATCTTGAAGAAAGCCATGCCTGTGAGTAAAGAGTCAGAGCCGGCCTGATGCTGTGGTCCGATCCTCTCCAGCTCCAGTTGCTCAGCTACTTCCTGCAGCCCTCCCTGAAAACACAACACCGTCTGTCTATCAAGTCAAAGTAAAACCTGAGGGCCACACTCACAAGAGATCACAACAGACATCAAGGTGTGAAGCTTTAAAATGAATAAAACAGGAGAAACTCTGAGCTACCTGCTGAAATATTTATCTAGGTACCTTCAGGTTTTTACAACTCTTCATGAGGTACTTGACATCATAAATGACTGGAAAGTACAAGCGAAGAATCTCAAAGAAGTCCACCTCCTCCTCAGGCAGGTTTGCGTTGGACAGAATCTTGATCAGGTATCCAAAGTCGTAGCCACTACAAAACACATACACACAAACACGTGCACAACTCTTAACTATGTCCTTGTATAAAGCAGACAGCAGGAGGCTTTGAGATATACTGTCACTTCCAATCTGCTATGACACGAAAAATAATCAAAGACAGGCAGACTGGCTTTCTTGTTCTTACGCCTGCACCTGCACACGTAAGGGCAAATAACAACACCGAGATCTCCTTATGGAAACCTCTTCCCCTGCATTTTACACAGAGCTCAACAAAGGCAATTTATGAAACAAAAGCTAAGGCGGCTTTGAGGGGAGGCTTGATGGTTCACCTTTAAGGAAGGGAATTTGAACTACTGGCATGGTGTTGCCAGGGGAACGAGTAGGTTTACATTGTATACTGTTTGTTTCCATCGATCTGCCATGCCATGTATTGTGTTTTCCATTGAGGACTATGGATGCACGATATTGGATTTTTTGCCAATGTCAGATATTCCGGTATTTAACAACTTATTTGGCCAATAATCGATGCTGATAGATACAGCCACTATTTTCTCCACCTAATTTTAGTGATTATGAAGTCTCTTTAAATCTGACACCAGCCAATACAGATGACGTGCCA